TATATATTCTGTCTTTAAAATATATTTTCCGCAGATGTTTTTATTACATTTAGCATAGACGTTCTTACTTCTGTTTCTTTTGCATGGTATCTGAACTTCGAGTTTTGAAATGTGTCCGAACATTAATGGGAGTCTAATTAATATAGGGTATATCTGGAAAATACTAACTTGGTAGATCTAATTCATTTTGCAGGAGGCTTACAAAATGGAAAATGATGCAAAGTCAGTTTTAACAGATGGTTTAAATAAGCACAATATTACATTGCCGAATATAAATATAGAATCTTATAAAGAAGATAGAAATGCTGCTATTGGAAATGGATCTGGAATCAAGTAAGATTTGACTGTTGGAAGAATTTTTCCGAATTGTGTCCTAATCTTTAAATTCATTTTAGCTTGGTATGCACCACCAGCAGTGGATGTATTTTTGGTGGTTCTGGATTGGGTTCTAATAAACGCGATGAGCAAACGGCTCCAGGCATACAGGCAGCAAACGAAATTCTAGACACGATTTTATCAAAGTCCTGCGTCGACGAGCACGCGCAAGATCAAGTACGTATTTCAAAAGAAATTAAAATAATTCTGTTTACTAGATGATATAATAATTATTTTATGTCACAGTTGATCATTTTTATGGCTTTGGCCAAAGGTACTTCGAAAGTTAATCTCGGAAGCAAAAAACTTACTTGTCACACTGAAACTGCTATACAAGTAGCAGAGATCATGTTGAAGGAATTTAATCTGCATTTTAAATTGTCCGAAGGCAAAGACAATGGAGGGAATATTTCGTATAGTTTGGAGTGCAAAGGTTATGAATACGAGAATAAAATAAAATAAATAAGTATATAAGTAACCATTTTATTCAAAATAAATTGACGTTCATACAATCAATCACATTTATACCATACTTTTGGTAAAAATTATTCCTGTTTTAGCCTGAAAAATGGCTCTATCGTTCGTAAGAATTCTCTTTCAAACACTTCGCCCGAGAATCGATTTACTGAAGCTCTGGAAATAATTAATTAATTTCTTAACAATGAAATACCGAATAAAATGAATAAACCAAATTAATACCTAGCAACTAGTTTAATCGCATTTCTTTCCTCTGGATCCATTCTAATAATATGTGCCATGATTTTTGCATATTCCTCAGGTTCAGTAGCCAAAAATCCGTTTTGGGATCCCGGTTGCGTTTCAATTATATCAGCTCTGCAATTAATTGATACATTTAGCTTATGTAGTTATATATTCTATCAAATACTAGACTTTTCATTTTACTTTGGACCACCGGAATCGTGAGCGACGACGATTAATCCTGCAGCCATGCATTCGACGATGCTGATCCCAAAATGCTCGTTCCACATCGTATGCAAACCTATCGTTGCTCGTTGAAGCTCCAAGAGAAGTTCCGAGTACGGTACGTTCAATTTGAATTCCACGTTCTCATCTAACGCGAAGTGTTTCGACAAATCCTGCATGTCTTTCATGCGTACCTCGTCTTCGAAATTACGACAGGAACCAATTAAAACCAGCCGAATCTGAAAAATCGCATAATGGACTATTTACACTATGACTTTCATAGGACTCCTAATTTTCAACAGCTAAATGCGAGCAGGTAAAATCTGGATACCTCAGTGGGTTCTGTGGTTTCTGCGGATCGAGTAGGCAAGAGTACCAATCAAATCCACTGCTGGTTAGGTTCAAGTAGTTGCCGAGAAGTCGTAGGAAAATCGTGGCTGTTATTCATGAGCTACGACTGCCCTGACCGCTTACCTCTGTACATAGAAAATTTTATCCATTATGGACTTTTATTAAATCAGTTTTAATCCATATCCATAAATCTATGATGTCAGTTAAAACTAATTAAAATATTAAGTGCTGTACAGTAGTTGTTTATAGATAAAATTGTTCATCCTCGCCATGTATATTGTTGTATTTTATATTTTCTACGCACAAAGGCTAGCAGTCAGGCCATTCGTAGCTTATGAATAAGAGACAATTTCTCGGCAATTACTTGGATTTAAACAGTAGAAGGTCGAACCGTACTTTTGACTACTCGTCCCGCAGAGATCATCGGGCCCTATAAGGTTCTCTGCTTTTACCTATTTTTCGCTATACTTCACATTTCGAACTACGATATTGGATTACCTTTATTATTCAACTTACCCTATCCCAAACGTCTTCTTTAATGATTGATCTAAGTTCGTACATCGCCCTTAGCATTAATGGATGATTTTTCTCTGGTCTGAATTGCGCAATCGAAACTATACGTATACTATTGCATTTCTCCTCGTCGCTGAGTAGCGGTAGCAACGTTAATTGCTTCACATCGCACGGTGGAAAGATTTTATGCGTTCTCATCGGGCATTTCCAAATCGAATTAATGTGTTCCTCGGTCCATGAAGAATTCACCATTACAATTTCTGCCCTACTGCCGACCCAGCCATATATCTGAAGCATTTTATGTAGATTGTATCTGCGGATGTTTATGCATTTGTAGAAATGTTAAACAATTTAAAGAAATACAGTATGCAGTAATATGTAAAGAAATACTAAAAATATCCAAAGTGTAACATTTAGAGAAAAGAACAAATGTTTATATGCATTTCGTTTCTTCAATTTTATTTATAAAAATAAGAAATTGCATAGACATTTGTAGTGCAATTATAACACTAAAGCACAGCGAGTCAATAATTTTCATTCAGTGACTTCCATTAATATTCGGACACACTTCAAACCAGAATAACTTTTTTAATGTTGAACCAAACTGTTTAATTTTCTGTGGGATGTTAGAAGGCTTCGTTTACTATATAATGTTCAATAAAAAATTGAAAAAAATTACTATTCGCAAACTGTTTATCTTTTTAATCTGTTTGTCAAATGATTTACGAGGTTTTTATCTATCATATGACATATTATATATAGACATGATATATAAAAAGAATCATTATCAGAAGGATTTCCTTATTCATAAATTTAGTATATAATAGAGCTTCTTCAATTAAGGTTTTTCAGGCTAAAAATAAAACTAATGACACACGTTCGAAATTTTGCAAATAAATAGTTATTGTCATCTTAAACTCATATAAAAAGTTTGAAAGAAATTGAAAAACTCGTTTTGAAATTATATCAATTTGAAATTTGAAATTAATATTCTTATGGAGTTTAATGAAATGTTAAAAATTAAAAAATCATGCCCTCTTTTTTCTTCGAGATTCTGAGGACTAGCATCTTTTTTCAATTTTCTGTGTTTGTAGTAAATCAGGTCTTCAAATATCTCAAAGAAAATTAAGTTGTTTCATCCGATATTAAAAAAGTTGTTCTATCTTGAAGTGTGTCCGAATATTGATGAAAGAATGTGGTACGTACAAATCCGAATAACTTGTAATAAGCTAGCTTCGCTGCTGACAGAAATGGATTTCTAGCTATGATTCTCTTATTTGTATGGGAGATAGTTCTTTTGTAAATGTGTCTCATCATGTCAGTAGAAATTGTTGGATAGTGAGTATACGTTGCAATCCGACATCCACCAATGTACCTAAACAATGGATAAGTAAATGCATAACCCATGGTGTCAATATAAATATCTGAAATAACAGATTTATAATTATGACTTGGTATGATAATTAAAATGCTTCAAAATCTTTTTACCTGGTATACAGCTATTTAAAGCTTCAATGCCCAGCCAAATGGAACCTAAGCTTTGTCCCAGAAGTGTAAAATAAGGATACATCGAAGCCTCTACCCATTTTCGTCTGTGTAGATATATAAATGTGACGTTGTTCTTGATTTTATAGTTAAAAACCTTCTCTGTTTTATCTAGAATCTGTAATGGATGTGCCTCGAGGTCTCCAGTGTAGACAACTATTAATACATCAGGATATCTACCAATGAAAGAAATATACTAATTTAGAATTCGGTTTTTAGAAAACAAGAAAATCTTCATACTTAGTTTGTATAGCATTGATAGCAGCCCAGAGTACTCTCTCGCCACCTCCGCCCGAGTTACAGTAAGGATGAAAGAAACCAACGACTGTCCCCTTATGCAATCTCTTTGCCCGTTGTTTTGAATATTCTCTCTTCCACAGTATTAATCCAATAGGCACAAGGATAAGTATACAAACTAGTTTGCACACAGCTACAACTAGCAACTTGTTCAATGAGAGCATTATATGCATCCTGGAAGGTGTAAAACTCGGCTAAAAAATTGATCAAAGTATTTTTGATTTCTTATGGGAAAAGATCGTACATAATTGAGTTAAAATCCATTTTATCGTTGTTGGATCGGTACGATAGTGAGGCAAACCGAAAATCTCAACACGTTCACGTAGACATTTACCGACTGTTATGTATTTACACTCGTAATCGTGTTTCGTTGAACCGACATATGTGGATCGTTTACTTGCAACGTGTGAACCTTCCTATACTATTTATTTCTACTTCATCTTCTTTACTCAGCTTTTCGATATTTATAATGGAACAGCTGTTGACAAACAGACGAGAGTTCAGCACCCAATCGATCGGCGCGTCGTCACACACCCACACGTGGCACAATGAACTGTGAAATGCTTAAATTCGTAGGAAAATTTATGTATCAGGTAGGAATTAATAGATAAGATTTTGTAATAGATAAGACCTCGTTAACATTTTATTACATGAAATATAATTAACTGCTATTTCGAATGAGATTTGTTTTGTTGGTTTCGAATTACGATCATTTATATTCTTTAAATGGAATTTACGATTATAATTGAGTCGTCCATCGAGTAAGATGAGAAGTTCAATATAATTTAATTAAATTGAATATAATTTAGCTTTAGGTTTTGACTTCAATTTCAATACGCATGCATGTCCTTAATAACCTAACCAAACCCTCCTGATACATCATGTATATGCGTATCACCGAGGAGAGATTACTAAAGAGTGGCAACGCCTGTGTTAACGCGCGGCTCGAAAAAAGGGCCCAAAAGGGCTCAAACCGGCAAGGTAGATTTATGAAATCCCACAGAATGACTGTTCCGGAGTGTACCGACCTTCAGGCTCACCGATGCCGGTGCCGATGCTTTTTTCCAGCACGATAGGTAATAGGTAATCGTAGAACGTTGATATTATCAACTTTATACTTGATTCGAGATTCGTACTTCGGAAAGAGAATAACTATCATTTTCAAATTTTGTCACACTTGTATTACTTTATTTTCATTAGTGCACACCATATTTTGCATTTGAAGTAGGAATAAAAGTAATTGGCATTTAATATCTCAATGAATATCAGTGTTTAATTGAAATTAGTTTCTGAATTGTTGTTATATCCACAAAATAGCGTAATTCGTTATATACATTGTAGAAACAGAATCTTCAATGTTGAGTTCATGGTAAATCTTAAACATTGTTGTTCATGTTGGTAATACAAAAGTGGAAAATTAAGTTTTTCATGCAGTTATTGGATAATAGTTTTAAATTCTCGTATTTGCTACTACTACAGCCGCTACAGCCTACTTTAATACATAGCCATGCTGAGAATGAAATGGCAACACCGCGGGGGTCCGAATTTCCTGTAGTGCAACCATAGCTGACTCTTCGACTCTCTTCGTGCCACCACAGTCGGTTGTGGTTGCACTACACGAAATTCGGATACCCGCGGTGTTGCCATTTTATTCTCAGCATGACGAGGTATTGAAATAGACTGTGCTACTATCAAACATCAGAATTTAAAACTATTGTCCAATAACTGGATGAAGAACTTAATTTTCCACTTTTGTATTACAAACATTAACAACAATGTTTATATGTTTGTGTATATGTTTAAATATTTTTAAACAATTGAAAAATACTGTTTAAATAATGAACTCTGCTCGATAAACAGTAAATGTGAGAAAAAAATACATATGT